CCCAGCATGTACAAACTCTCACACTAAATGCAGCCAGTTCGCCGATGACACGGCACTCATCGCGACGCATTACACGAGGGATTTGTCAGCTGCATTCCTCCAACGTGCCGTGGACGCAGCAGGACGATGGTTGAAGGATTGGCATCTCCTCGTCAACACCACGAAAACCGTCATCCTTTCCTTCCAACCCCAACACACCATCCACATCACGCTCCACTCGACTCGGCTGCAGCAGGTCCACCAACATAGGCACCTTAGTGTTACACTCCAAGACGATTTGCGATGGACCCAACACATCATAGAAACCACCAACAAAGCCAAAAAACTACTACACCAACTCCACAAGACACGTGGCACAATGAACGCGTCCAGCCTATTGTTAATATACACAACCTACATCCGACCCGTTTTCGAATATGGCAGCCTTGCCCTCTCCAACACCACACAGCAACAGCGGGACACACTGAAGAGAATTCAACGCCGTGCTATACGCATCTGCCTTCGGATTCCTCTCTTTGCACCAGTTCACCACAGCTCCCTCCTCCATCACGCAAAGCTCCCCACCCTTAGCTCACGATTCCTTGTTATACAAGCCCTACTAGCATGGGACATCCACCACCAAACCTCCCCACCACACCTGCAGCAACCACATCTTGCACCACAACGTCAACACCAACCATACACCCTTCGACAGACAAGGACCTACTCCATCGGACACGCACACACGAACAGGCACCGAGATTCCCCCATCAACAGTGCCCTCACCCTCTACAACTCACTCCCTATCGACATCACAACTCAACCTCGTAGAAATTCTTTCCGAAACAATGCATCCAGTCTTCTTTTGAGCAGTACCTGCTCCTGCTTCGCGCATCCTCCTGGTTTCTGATATCTCGAACGTGTACTTAACTATCTTGATCACCCCTGCTAACGTTATTGCCCCCGCTTGTTTTTCATGATCCATTGCTTCTTGCCTCCCGGTTAATTTCCATCTAGCTGTTTCTGGCTAGTACCAGTTCTATCGCACTTATTAATCATCCTTATTGGCGTCACGCCATCGTGGAATAAAAGAATATAAAAAAGTATAAAAAAGTGCGAGGTACGAAATCTGAAGAAAATGTTGAACGGTTTCTGCAGAGATGACGACTACACCATAGCTCAGTGGTCACAGCATCGCTGGCTACCAGCGAGGGTCCATGGTTCGAGTCTTGGTTATGTCAGGCATTTTTTCTTCAGACTGTTCTTGTTTGTGTCTTACTCTCCAATCCGCGATATTCATGTTAAAACAAAATGGCGTCACGATTTATTGAAAGTGGTATAGTTGGTGGTACGAGTGTTCAAAACCATTTGAACTTCATATTGTTCGTCTTCTTTTGAAAATGCTCTCTTTCCATCGTCCTTAGCTTTTGTTT